AGTTAGTTGTTTGAGTTTGCACATGTCAGAGACCATTAACCTGCACTTTAAGCAAATATGTGTCATACGGATGACAGATAATTTGTATATATAATCTTTGGCTCTTGCTTTGCTTGGACATGAAATATTGAAACGAGCTTGGGAAAAGTAACCTGACTAGTCTAATGGCGGTAATGAGTTCAATCCAGTTCAGATTTCAGGCACTCAAAGGCTTTTTTGAGCCATCTGAACTCTGAGATGAAACAGACGAATATAACCCAGATAAAGTTAGAGGACAAGAGCCAAAATATATATATTCTATAGTACCTTTCTTTGCTTCTCCTCTTTCTTACGTTTTAAAAGCAAAACCACTTAGCTTTTCTCCTTTCTGGACTCATTTATATGTAAACTTTTTCATTGATTCATTGAGGTCTAAGTAAGTGGAACATCTCTTTGTTTCTTCGTTCCCCACCAAGAAGAAAAGCCAAAATTTTCTCTTCGGGTGCAAAAGCATGCACTTCCAAACGTATCTGCAAGTACGGATGTTGCAGAAACTAATGGTAATAATGTTGTTGCTCTCTCTGTTAGTCTTTGGAGATCAAACGGGAGAGTCGACGCTCGTTGGCATCAGTCATTCGCCTGGCGTTAAAGAACAGGAACGTGGGAAGAAGAAGAATCAACAGCATCGACGTTTGGGACATTCCTTTGATGTGTTCTTTTCGAGCAAGAGGAAAGTTCCACACTCCTCAGATCCATTACACAACCGTTGAATGCTTATTGTGATAACTCTTTGCTGTTTCTTTAAGGTTCTGCTAGTTTTTTTTTAGTGTTCTTGTGCGGGGATTGGGATCCTCATCATCAGCATGAATTGCGATTGCATCATGGGTGTTTTCAAAGTTTTTCTGCAATTTGAGAACTTTATGAATTATCATCCATATCTTGGTATGTGTGAATGAAATATATCAAGTAATGGATAAAAACTTGGTCCGGAATTATTTGACTATTTCCGTTGCTTAGATTCCATTTTTACACAATAAATTGTCCTTTTCATGACTTCATAATACAGAGACCGTGACGTTGCTTTTTAGTAGGTTATACTTTTTAGGGTTTATAGGTTTGGTGGCATCAGAGAATAATCTCTGTAATCCCATTGAAATTCTTATCCCATTGAAATTGTCATCGTCTGATTGTTTTATAGTTCCTAGTATAGTTCATTGTATCATGAATGCACTGCAGCGTCAATTAAATTGCAGAATAGCTAGATGAGTTCTACACGTGAGCCAGAAATTGAATTCATTTTGAACTGTTTTATCCTATATTCACTGAAAGCAAGTACGGACGCAGAGATAATAAGATGAGAATCAGAGGGGGGAAGCTTTTGAGATTCCCCAATTGCAGCAATCATTTCAGCAAATCCTACAACTTTACAGATATATAACATAATTTTTAAAGCCAGCTTCTTCATGTCTGCTGAAAGCAATGCACATTTTATTATGAAAACTAATAAACACGGTTTGTAAGTGTCTTCTTTTTAATTTGTTTTTTGCTTAAACGGGGGTTTAGAGGGATGTTGTATGTGAGCATTACCATCATTTCGTATCACAATCAAGAAGACCCAAACAGGTGTCCAAACTTTGACCGATCGCCTAAGCTACAACAGTTCCATCCATCATTAATTAAAAGGACTACCTCAACTTGTTTCCCATAATCTATTTGAGATTTATCAATGTTAACATGTTTAGCATATCAAACTCATTAGCCACCTCAATAATAAAAATATATTAATTTTCTTCGTGATTTCAGATTAATGTAATGATGTCTATATGACATGTATATGTTTCAATTATTAAATAAATTTTGAACAGATATTATTTATAATCAATTATTTTGATAAAAAGATATTTATTGTACCAAGGAGCGAATTTACAAAATAATGTAGTCATTATCCCCTTGACGTCAGTAAAATTATTAATTGTCGATAGACCAACCAAAATCACCCAAAAAATTAAAGAGCTTATTTGCAAAATAATAATAATAATGTTAAACTTTTTTTAGATAAATTTATTTTAAAAAAATATTAGAAATTTTTATTGTGTGACGGGTTAAGATGTGCCTAAAATATGGTAGAAATAAACGCAACCTAAATTGTTACAAAAAAATATAAAATTTTCGGTTAAGTGCAACCTAAAATGTTACTTTCTTCGTAACATTTTCGGTTGATAATAAAAAATGTTATATTTTTCAAAACATTTTAAGTTACAATTAAAAATGTTATTAAGAAAATAATATTTTAAGTTACGTACGACCTAAAGTGTTATATTTTTGTGACATTTTAATATTTTAAGTTGCAATTAAAAATGTTATTAAGAAAGTAATATTTTAAGTTACGTTCGACCTAAAGTGTGATATTTTTGTGACATTTTAGATTATATTTATTTTTATTATTTTTTATCCTTGAATTAAGGTGCCTTGTGTTAAATTTTCTCTATGTTTTGGTCTACTGTTAGGTATTTATTTCATTAATAAATATATGTGAATTTAGATAAAATAAATAAATAAAAACCATTTAATTGTCAAAGACCAATTAATGCCGATAATGTAAAAGAGAACACCGCGTATCAGACCTCTGGAGGAAACCGAACGGTCTCAAATGGCAACTTATACAGCGAGGCAATTGGCTAAATGGTCCAATCAACCATGAACCTATTTAATACTATGGCGAGTGGAGTTTGTTTTCGCATCATTCTGTCTTGGACAGAGACGTTGCAGTTACTGTGAAAAGCCAACTTGAAGAAGAGGAAAGTGACGACATAACATTTTATGAGTTTATAATATTTTAGGTTTTATAACGATATGTTCTTTTATAATATTTTAGATTATGCTTATATCTATTGTTTTTTAACTACATCCTAATTCGTCGTACAACACAACTCCCCCAGAACACGGGTTTGGTCAAAACCCAATAAGAGGATAATAAAAGAGTGGTCAATAAATCAAAAATTGGCCTAAGAAACCTTAAGAAATTGAAATTATTTTTGATTCTTCTCACTATCTTATCTATAATTTCTATCTAATTAGAAAATTTTAAATGATTTAGAGTGATTATAAGGTGATATATGTTCATAATCTTTCTTAATCATTGATAACGTACATACACCATACAAATACAATTGTTCAAATTTAAGACTTCAAATTGAAATAACACTCCTTTTAACTATTAAAGTCACTTAATAAATTCAATTTCTATCTAATTAAATGAACCCATACTACCTTTATTTTTCACATTTTATTTTTGTATGAATTAAATGAACTCATCAAGTGACCTAGTTGTAAAAAATAATGTTGTTTTCCTTAGAAGTCTTAGGTTCAAGTAAATGTGTCTGTATAATATGTAAAATGTCAAAAAAAAAATTAAAAAAATCTAAGCAAATATTACTTTATAATCACCACTAAATTATTAAAAAAAAATCCAAACCATCGCCCCTTATCTATCCATCCTTAACTCTTTAATCTCCGTGTATTAAATCTTCACTTTTTTTTTCTACCATCCTTTATTTTTTTTAAAGATGAATACTTTGTATTAATAAATATACAAGGTACAACCACCCCATGAACTTCATTAAAAAAACCTCCCTAAACCTATTTGGAGGAAAAGGAGTGAAACATGAGGTGGAACGAACAAGAAGCTCCTGAGAAAGCAAACACTGCCTGAGACACATGCTACTACAAAAACACATCTAAACTGTTGCTATACACACAGCTACAAACAGAGATGGGAACCAACGGAAAAGACCACAAAGTGAAGAGCAACAAAACAACTTAGCACAAACCTCCTGCGGAGAAGCACCAAAACTTCGAACTAAAACCTGAAAATCAATGGGACAACACATGTCACGAATAGAAAGACCCACGCTCCAAAAAGCTATCCCAAACATCTCCATAACGAAACACAATCAATCCAAACCCCCTTTACCAATCAGACGAACCTAAGAAAATCTCCAAGATCAAATCTTCATTTTCCCCCATCATTCATTGTTTATCAAACTCCATAAAATATCAAATTAACCATTACAATGAGATTCGTTATATCTTTTCAAACATTATAGCAGATTCTTCCGATAACCAAAGTCTTAAGAATAAGAGGAGACTTCAATCAAAATTTAATAGAAATCGTGATTCTAAGCTTAAGACTAACGCTAATATTACTATAAAACCCTTCAATCAAGAGTGAGAAGGGAGTTTTTCTTCTCGAGTTATCTCACACGCTCTTCAGATCTTTTAGACCAGACTACGTTGATTGTATATAGCAACACCTCCATGACCACCAGTTGTGACTCTTCATTTAAATTAAAAGGAGTGAACCATCTATAACCATTATAATTCAAATGTTATCATCAATAATATTTAAAATCAACACAAACTTTTAAATTATTTTCAAATACATTTTTATCCTTACCGTCAAAAAAATTATATTTGTTATTCTTTCAAAAATCGTATATTATAATATAAGGTAAGATACCTATTTAGCATCATCTATAATTATATTTTTATTTTGATCACTTAATTATTTTTATTTTTGATAAAATTGTATCCAACATCATGTTTTATTTACAATAATTGCTGCAAATGATGACCAAGCACTTGAAAAAGATTTTTTTATATGGTGTTTAAATAATTTAAATCTTTTCATCTTTATAAATTAAAAGATATTATATACTTGAGATTTATATTCTTATGCCTTTAAACAACAAAACCAATTAAATTAAACTCAATCCACAAACACTCACAAACAATTGAAATCATTAAATTTGTGAAAAGAAAGTCATTGACTTCATCATCAGAGGTGAAGAAAAAATGTGTGGTATAGAAAGCTTAGATATTGATAAGAGGACACAATAAAGGCTAGAGTACTTGATGGAGCTATGAGTTTGCACCATGGCTGAACATAAATACATATGATCATAACCCATAAGCATCAACCTTGGTGAATGAGAGTTCCAGTAAAAATTTGCATACTTCGTTTGTCCAATACATTCAATGCAACAATTTGAAGCTATAAATTTTCAGGGCCTCGGTCAGCGTTTCTGCAGTGTCTGTAATCTAAACGTTCTTCATATGATTTTCTGTTTGTTTCCATGGAAAACCTGTACCAGTACCTTGGAATCATCATCTTCATTCTTCTCACAATCAAGCTTTTGCCTCGCAACAAAACGCAAAATTTGCCTCCGAGTCCCTTTCCTCTGCCAATTATTGGCCACCTTCACCTCATCAAAAACCCACTTTACCAATCAATGGCCACGTTATTATCCAAATATGGCCCTGTTTTATATCTCAGAATCGGTTGTAGGAATGTCCTTGTTCTTTCTTCTCCTTCTGTTGTTGAAGAATGCTTGACAAATAGCGATATATTTGCAAACCGGCCTCGGACTATGGCTGGGGATCTTTTAACCTATAACTACACTACTTTCGTATGGGCTCCTTACAGTCCTCTTTGGCGGAACCTTCGCCGTCTCAGCGTAGTCGAAATTTTCTCCTCAAACAGTGTTAAAAAGTTTTCTTCCACACGCGAAGATGAAGTTGCCAACTTTGTTCGTCGCTTGTTTGAAGTGTCGGCACGAAACGACACGCAGAAGCTGGACATGAAGTACCTGTTTTGTCTCTTGACAACGAATGTCATGTCGCAGATGGTGGCCGGAAAGCGTGGTGTCGAGGATCCTAGGGACACGGAGGCCGAGAAGAAGTTCTTCAGGGAATTTAAGGATATATTTTTTCCAAGCTTGGGAACCAACATATGTGATTTCTTCCCAGTTTTGAGATGGATTGGTTTCCTGGGGATTGAAAAGAATTTGAAAAAATTGCATAGGATCAGAGATGAATACATTCAGAATTTAGTAGACGGAATTAGATTAAAGAAAACTAAGAAGAATTCTTCGTTGATTGAAAAGCTTCTGTCTCTTCAAGAGGAAGACCCTAACTTCTGCTCCGATGAAATCATCAAGGGCATGATTTTGGTAAGTAATAACTTGCTTGTGTTAATGGTTTTACACTGAACTTTTTTTTTATAAATTTGGTCGCGTTTGAAACCATTATCTAATTTTGTCATTGGCATACAACATCTGTATCAGATGATGTTCATTGCAGGAACTGAAACAACTGCGGTTACAATGGAATGGGCAATGTCACTCCTTTTGAATCATCCCGAGGCTTTGCATAAGGCTAGAACCGAGATCGATGGCCAAGTCGGACACGACCGCCTGCTGAATGACTCGGATCTTTCGAAGCTTCCTTATCTTCGTTGCATCGTAAACGAGACACTCCGGCTATATCCCCCGGCACCAATGTTGCTGCCTCATTGCTCATCTGAAGATTGCGTGGTTGACGGATACGAGATACCTAAAGGCACACTGCTGTTGGTCCATTCTTGGGCCATCCATAGGGATCCTGGTCTATGGGAGGACCCAACCGAGTTCAAGCCTGAAAGATTTGACGAGGGAACTTTGGATGACAAAAAAGGATTGAAATATCTTCCATTTGGACTTGGAAAGAGAGCTTGTCCAGGCAATACCATGGGTTTAAGGTTAGTTTTATTGGCACTTGGTGCAGCTATACAGTGCTTTGAATGGGAAAAGGTAGGATCGGGCAAGGTTGATATGACCCCAGGCAAAGGACTAACTATCTCCAAGGCTAAGCCATTGGAGGCTTTGTGCCGTCCACGGCCTGATTTGGTTAAACTGCTCTCCCAGTTTTAACCTTCCATTTGAAGCCAATCTTTTTGCTGAAAATAAATTTACATCAGAAACATGGATGCATCAAGAGGACAGCTGGGGCATTTCCCTTAAAATCTTTGAAACATCGATATTTTCTTTGTATTTTCTATAAATAATTTATTTTAACATATCTGGTACGAAGAAACTTTGAATTATAGATAAAATTAGGCTCGAGTTTTTACTCCCAATATATTGGTGGCGTGATTCCACATTAGCCTTAAACCGTTCTGATAATTTCATTTTGATACTTGGATTGATGCTTGTATCATAAAGTTATTGTACGTCCCAGAAATGGCATCAACCTCTAGGCGACATCTCCAAGATAATGTTCAAAGCAGAGACAGAAAACGACAGCTTTTTGTAATGAAGTGGACAATCAGGAAAAACTGTATTTGCTTACCGTAACTTTTAGGGTGTGTTTGATTTATGTAATGTAATATCATCAGTGGAAATATAAGATTATCAGTGTGAATGTAAAATTATCAGGGAATAGAATTATTGGAAATGTTGTATTTTGTGTTTGGTTGGTTTAGTAGGAATGTAAGATTACCGTATTTGGTTAAAGGAATAAAAGATTATTATAATGTATATTTGACAAAATTATCTTTATTATATATTTGTTTTTTAACAAGTTGAAAAATATTTATATATATTTTTTAAAAATTTTAAATTCATAAAATTTATATTTTTTTACAAAATTAAAAATATAAAAAGATTTAACGAAAGTGTAAAGTTTTATTTTAACCCCTGAATTTCATATAAAATTTTAATTATAGATTTTTTTTGTAAATCTAAAATAGTTTAAGGATAAATTTATAATTTAACATTCGTAGAATTTTTATTATTCGATGACAAAAGAAGGATATTTTTGAAAAAAATTAAGAGTATTTTAGTCCAAAACTCCGGTAATCCAACAATAAATAAGAAAAGGGAGGTAATGACATTCCCGGTAATATACCCCAAAAAATCTACTATTAATAATAAAACATTACCGGAAATGAGATTCTCGACCAACTAGGGTAGAAAATCAACTTGAGTTTTGCAGGTAAAGAAGCTATCAGTATGACCACTGTACCTCCAATAATGTAGAACCCATTGGCTTTTCTTTTGATTTTTTCCTCACTTCTTAACATGCTGATTAATTCCTGCATTTTAAGTGATGGTTTCATTATAATTCGACATATATGGTGAATTATTTGACTTTGCAGCAATGAAACACGAAAAGGGTAAAAAAACAGAGAGCCAAGCCATGCCTAGACTAGACTATAATTGCCAAACCCATTAGAGATGGGTGGCTGCATATTTACAGTTTGGTATAATAACAAAATTATTTCCCGACGTTTTATTTTTTTTATTAAAACAACTTCTATTAGAAGAAAACCGTTAATTAATTATCAATACATATTGATGATGTGTTATTTTGATATTTATTTAATTATTGACATGATATGTGTCATTTCATTAACTTGTGTCTATTATCATTTGTTTTTCTTTCAACTTATGAAATTTGAATAAAAAGTAAAACGTTAAGATATTAAAATATTTTAATAAAAAATTAAAAATATAATAATAAATTATATAAATGTTAGAAAATAATTATATCATTACGTCTTATCCGGCGTTGTTGAATAACATCATCCCAATGTCACATATTATGTTATAATTGCATGAGCAAATTAATGGTTTGGAAGAAAATAGAAAGGGATAATTAAATGGGTGGGACTTACAACAACTAATATGCATGGCCCAGGAAATGACTGTATAATCTTCGATGCAGGCGATCGACAGATTTAGGAGAGTGATGAGTCAATTTCTTAAGATTTTTAAATTAAACTCATTAATGTTCAACGATGAAATACGGGGAAAATGGCTGAGATGATGTTGTGGGGAAAAAAATTCAATATAAGTTATATTTGGAATTATTTCTTTAACTAGAGTCTAGGGTTTAGAGTTTGAACACTCGTACTTAACAAACAAAGATGAAAAAAATAAGTATAAATGATGAGAATACCAAGTTTATTCCTTCCTAAAGTTATCAATTGATCTTAGTAGTTGAGAGTTGTTTTATTTTTTTTAAAGTTTTTGGTTTAAGTAGTTGTATTTTTAGATTTTGAATTCAAGCAATTACGTATGTAAATATATGTATGTTGACAATAACTAATTTTTTTAAACAGATACTAACTTATAATCATCGTATACAGTTAAAAAATAATATATTATCGTTGTCTTCTTTTCTTTTCTTTTCTTTTTAAATCTCTTTTTCCTTTTTTTTAATTGAAATACTATATTAGTATTTCTCCACCATCTTCTTCCAAAAGCAAAGATCAAAGGATCAACAAAGATACAACGGAACCAAATCAAAAGATGTTGTCTTCCTAATTTATTATATTTTTAATTTTTTTTACCATTTTATAACTTTTTATAATTAGATGATTCAATAAAAAAGTAACTTAGAATTAAATATTTTTTAAAACCCTATCATCATTGAAATTAAGTAAACAAATCTCGATCCCCTCCTTGTATAAATATCTTTTTTTATAAAAAAAATAACAGTTTTGGCATTAAATAAATTAAATCAAAACCATTAAATTGATAATTTAATAATTTGATTTTGACTTTTTACTAATTATATTTGACACTCTCGTTATTCCATTTTAATCTATAATTGGAAATATGTATAGTCCGACGTATGATTTTATGTTAAGAGATGTACTTTTAAAATTTTAGGAGAATATGAACTTACAAAATTCTTAGGACCAAAATAGATTACCAATAAAAAAAGTTAAAAAGAAAAAATATAAAAAATATGTGATAATTTAAAATTATTAAAATAATATTGTTCCCGTCTATTAAGGTTATCTTTTAAGAAAAAAAGGAAAAAGAAAAAGGTAGTTTTAATCAATTTGGGGGTCTTCATTTATTATGAATGGATTTTGATGGGATAACAAGTTGGAGAAAAATGCCAAGCCAAGAATCTCCTTTAGTTTAAAGGGGTATTGCTTGCTGCTGCCTTTCCTGCATCTTCAACCACTTTAAAGTATGACCATTTATTAATAAAGAGGATATTGTTGACTAATAAAATCAATGACTTTAGGTGGTGCGAAATTCTTAAACCAAAATATATTTTTATATGAAGTAAATGCTCTGCTTGTTTACTCATTTTTCTCCAAGGTTACAAATAAGAGATAAGTGGCAGACAGAAATATTTTTGAAGGATAATAGACATATAGATTAACAACATAATTTTTTATATGGAGTAAATATAAATGAAATTTTAGAGTTAATATCATCAATAAAATAGATAATTATCCGGGGGGAAATAGATTTGATACAAAAGTATATGAGGTCCTTATACTTTAAAAAAACCTCAATGTAACCCTCAAATTACTTTTACACTCAATATAACCCTCAAACTCAAAAAAATACAAATTCAATGTGACTCTTTGACCAACGTTTTCCACCACGTCAACATCTTGAATTATCACGTCAGCGGCGTAAAAGGGCCACACTGGATTTGTTTTTTTTAGTTGGAGGACTATATTGAGTGTAAAAATAATTCGAGGACTACATTAATTCTTTTAAAAAGTATAAAAACTCTAAATATCATTTTACTTATAGATTTTAAGGTGAACATGTACTCACTCTCACACAAGTATATTCGTCACCGTAAGGGATTATGTATAAATTTTAAGGGTTGGAGACCTTATCTTCCTCAGCTTTCAGATTTGGCAATTGAAATTTTATGCAGGAAGTGTGCGGGAGAGTTCCTAAACGTCACACTATGCCAATCACTTCAACCATCCGACGCTACAATTAGAGATGACTCAATAGACCGGATATTTATAATTTGTAAAAATTAGGAATAAATATTAATTTTGTATATGAATTTTGATTGAATATGTGATGTGATATATAAATTTTGATTTAATATGTAATATAATATATAAATTTTAATTTGTAAAATTATATACATAAATTTTAATTCTAGTTTAATTATGCAGTTTGATTTTTCATTCTGACCCAATGTGCACATTTAAAAAAAAATAAACATCAATTTATTTTTATACTAGATTAATATAACTATTTTATATTTACGATATATAATCCTAAAATGATGTTATATTAATAATTGTGATAGAAATTTGTGAAAATTAAGTCAGATTAACTTCTGTATATCATCTCTCTCAATCAATCTGCTTTTGTAAAAGGAAGGAACATTGTTGATAACACTCTTCTGGCTCAGGAGCTTGTTAAAGGATATGGTAGGAAATCTATCTCTCCTAGGTGCTCATTGAAAATTGACATCCACAAGGCTTTTGACTCTCTGCATTGGGGATTTGTATTGGTTGTTCTTAAAGCTATTGGTCTTCCTACTACTTTCATCAAGTGGGTAGAAGCTTGTTTCACTGGAGCTTGTTAGTTCAATGGAAGTCTCATAGGATATTTCAAAGGAGCCAAAGGCTTACGACAAGGTGATCCAATCTCACCTTTACTGTTCGTTCTGTCAATGAACGTCTTATCACAAATCCTGAACAAGGCTGCTCTTCGAGGTATTTTTGGCTTTCATCCTAGATGCAAAAAAAATGATTTAACACACCTCACTTTTGTTGATGACCTGCTTATTTTTTGTAAGGCGAATGTTGAATCAGATGTGGGAATTATTAATGTTTTTGAACACTTTTATGCCATTTCTGGCCTTAAAATCAATGCGCAGAAATGTAAATTCTACACTGCTGGAATATCACCTAGGCAAATTGATGAAATCAAGCGAATTACAGGGTTCAATCAAGGTTATCTACCTGTTAGATACCCGGGAGTTCCTCTAGTTACTAGGAAACTCTCGAACAAGGACTGTATTGCTCTTATTGATAATATCATGGAACATCTTCATCAATGGTCACGAAGACACTTGAGCTACGCTGGTAGATTAGAGCTTATAAAAACTGTTCTGTTAAGCATCACTAATTTATGGTGTAGGTAGTTAATCCTACCCCAATCTGTTCTAAACAGAATTAAGCAGCTATGTTCACGTTTCTTTTGGAAAGGTTCGGACAAGGCAGCTTTGGGAGCTAGAGTGAGCTGGAAAAAACTATGTATTCTTAAATCAGAAGGGGGTTTAGGACTTAAAGATATAAAATCATGGAACAAAGCTCGTACGATGCATTTAATTCGGAATGTGCTTGCGGGTGAAGGTTCTTTATGGATAGCCTGGATTAATAGTTATATCATTAAAAATTCTGATTTCTGGGACATGGAAATTGGTCTTAATATGAGCTGGAGCTTCCGAAGCTTGCTTAAAATGAGGCATCAAACTTCGACTATTCTGTCCATGGGAGCTGCTACTATAAAAGATATTTGGCTTCAAATCAGACACAGGGAGGAAAAAATAAAATGGCACAAGTTAATATGGTTCCCACTCCATATCCCAAAATTTAGCATTATTACTCTGATGGCTTTGTTAAATAGACTTCCAACTAAAGATAGATTGCTTGGAATGTGATTTGAAATTGATAATACATGTGTGCTTTGCAATGTCTCTTTGAAATCTAGGGTTCACTTATTTCTCCATTGTCCTTTGTCTAGCTCACTGTGGGATGCGATTTTGCACCTAAATGGCATTAGAATAAGACCATGCTCTTGGGAAGAACACATATCTTGGGCATGTGCTATCTCTACTAGTTACTATCTTGAAGCTTGCTTGGACATCTTTTACCTATACTATATGGGAAGAGAGGAACAAAAGGTTATTTACAGGTTGCTCAAGATCTTTTGAAGCTATGTTCAACTACATTAAAGATACCATTTCAATCAAATTACGGGGTAGAAGCATCAATAGGATTGATAGTATCAATATCACACTTTGTAATAAATGGGGTATTGCTTATTGCAGTTGTTTTACTGTAACTTTGATTGTAATTCCTGGATACTCTTGTAAGTACTCTGTTCTTTTGAGCAGATTTCTGCTCTTGGATAATAAAAATGAATTTATCAAAAAAAAAAAACTTATGTATATGTGATTACACATTTAATAAAAGAAAGAGTTAATTACAAAGTATGATCTATATTCTAAAATGGATCTTTAAATTTTTTAATATTCTAATTTTGTCGTTAAACTATGATACTCATTTTAGATTAGTCTTTAAACTTCTGAACGTTCTAATTTCATTCTTAAATTATGACTCTTATTCTAAATTAGTCACCAAACTTTTAAATCTTTCAATTTTATTCTTGAATTTATTCAAATATATAATTAATTTTAACCATAATTTAACTTAAATTTTATTTTTTTTATAAAAAACATTAAAATTTATTTTTTAAATTTTATAATAATAAAATTTGACCGTAATGGGACGTGAATAGTATTTTAATACACTGTGGCTCTTCAAACGAGGTCAAAACCCCACCAAATTTAGTCACCGCCAGTGGCTGACAACATGTTTCTTCCCTCACATGCAAACACAAATTCTTCTTCTTCTTATATCCACTTTCATTACTCCCGCTCTTCTTTTTCATTCCCCTTTCTATGCATTTCAATAATGTCTAAGAACAAGGAAATAATAATCTTTTACACTGAAATTAACATTTATGTTCGTAGAACAAAAATGTCTTAAGCATCAATGCATGCATGGACTCTGCATTTTTCATACTTGTTTCTTCCACTTGATTTCTTCCGGATAAAATGCAAACCATCTCCAATTCCTGATTCCCACACCAATGATATTACTGTGTTTGCTTGGAAAGTGCAGAGATGGCAAGCAATTTACCGTCCATAGTAATATTATTACATATTACACTATTTATAGCCCGAAATTGACGATGGAAACTCAGTGAGTTCTTAGCATTTCCAGAAGCTGGTCTTGCTGAGTTCTGCTCTTCTTCGACACAGGCTCAGGTGAGGAAGACACAGAGGATAATGATGATGATGCCAATGCCCACGAATCGTTCGAGCTGTTGGAACTAAATGAGACGTCGATCACACCGTTCGGGCTTCCCGGGACGGAGCTAAACCTGCGCTTCTTCGATTCGTTGCCTTCGACTCTTGTTGTTGCCGATTCCATGATCAACTCACAGCATTCATTTACCTTGTCCTGGTTCAATACTTGAATCCAGATTTAAGATAAAACTGCGGATTAAACATCGGAAAAGAAAAAGTTAGTGATAAACAATACCTTATCAATTCCCATGATGCTTGATAGCTGGTTTTGGTATTCTACTCTAAGACTAGGCTCTACACTATCCAGAACGTGCAGCATTGTAGCAGTGGCCATTACAGAAGGAAGGTAGCACAAAAACCTAGAATCTGCCGATGATTTTAACAAATAATTAATAAATATTAAATTACATATAGATTACAGAGTGAATCCACTTTAATAAAGGGTACTAATGAACCTGAAATGACAGAGAGCAGAATGTGGTCGCATCTCCTGAGAAATTCCCAACAAAGATAGTCCTTTAATCCACGCCTCCTTGTTATGTAATCGAGAAATGAAAGTGGTGTTACAGGGTTCATCTTCCATTGAAGGGAAGAGAGTACCAAAATCTCCATTCTTTGTATAGTTTTGGCCTCGAACACATATCTGGTCTCCTCCACCTGAACAGATCAGCACATTGATAAGCCAAACCGAGTGACGGATGAATTAAACTACAGAAAAGTTTTGTAACAAATAGATTTACTTGTAAATCCAGTAGCAGAGGTACTTGCGTTTCCTCAACTTTGGCTGCAAGAGAGAGACAAGCAACGGCAGCTAGTTGAGTCGTCCATGGCTTCTCGCTTTGGAACCGGAAGCTAAACAAGAATCTATCGAGATAATTTACTGCAAGAACGGCGGTGAGAGTAGAGAAGGAATAGTGAGCATTAACTTTCAATACCCATTCCACAGCTTCCCGGCGAGCCTTAGCTAGATTCCCATCGGCTTGAACGCTATCGAAGAGTTGATTCAGCTCCTCCTTCGAAAGTAAAGAGGAAAGTTCATCGTCTTCCCAGAACAAGTCATGCTCTAACAAAACTGGAAAAGGGTTAGATTTATTAACAATCCCATTATCGAAACAACGCTTTTGTTCTTCTTCAACATCCCAATTCTCTTCCGGACAATAAAGAGCATCGAAAATAAAGGAAGAGTCATGATGATTCAAAGCCATTCTGTTCCACCAAAAACCCCAAAATTTGTTCAGATCTTTGTTTCCATTACAAAGAGAGGCCTTGAGGCATCTCTCTTGCGAGCAATGATCGAAGGATGTGTGTTTGTTGGGTGAGTTGGCTCAGTTGTATGGGTGCTGCATCAAGCAATGGGGATTTAGTACTTGGAGGAGAAGAAAAGTTTTGTTTTATAAGAAGGGAAAGTGTCGTGTCTATGGAGCAACATAGCTGAATCATGGCCCATGCAACGCATTTACTGGACACGTGACATTCTTTGTCTTCAAATCTCTGGACCCCACCTTCCCCTTCCTTTCATTCGTAGATTCAGATTATCAGATTATGAGCTGGATTCATTTTATGTTTTGAAACTCTCAATAAGTATGGACATTTTGCTTATTTAATCCTGGATTCATTTCTTTTTTTCAAATTCTTAAAAAAAATTATAGATTTTTTTTAGTATGCAATTATAAGATAGTATTTTTTTTAAATTTTTTAATTATTAATAATGCATATACACTCTATTGACGTAGTTGTTCGAACCAATAATTTCAAGAGATAACAACATTCACTTTTCCACCAGGTCCATTAAAATCATTCAATGAATTTATTTAATTGTAGGGTTCTTGTGGTTCTAGTTTAGTTATCCAATTATTTTAATTTATAATGTATACATAAAGTTATGTTTTAGTTTTATTTTGATCATACGTCATCAAAAAATTAACAGTGGTATTGATGTGTTACCCCATAAGATAATGTCACAATATCATTAAAACAATTACCAAATCAATAGTTCTATTTTTTAATAATTTGTGGTCAAAATAAAACTAAAATATAACTTTGAGTATAGTTTTTTTAAAAAAATAATTGAATTATTAAAATAAAATTATAGAAATAATTAGGTAACTAAATACATAGTTTACCTTTAATTATAATATACGTGGGGTAGATAGAAGAATGTGATTAATGGTAGGTCTGAGAAAAGGCTGCCAAACTGTTTTGTGTTTGCAGAGGGAAAGTTCGTAAAAACTGACAACCGGAGAGAAACAAATTTTTTATCACAAAAAACAAGTGAATTATTAATTTACAGCAATAAATAATATTAAATGAGATATTAATTTTATATAAGAAAAGAATAGAATAAATCATTGTTGCATCATTAACCATGGAGCCACAGTTTTATGCTTGAAATATTATAGCCTATACACATCTACTCTGCCGACAATTCTATATTTCTATCGAAAATCCAAAGACTTCGATCATCTGTTTATTATATTTCATCGAGTGATGGAGATACTTATGGTCCTTACTTTCGTATAAGATTTTAATATAAGGGCTTCAACACTGTTTTATTATATTTATATAAAAAAATAAAGCACACATGTTCCATCTTTGCAAGTAAATTAATCGTTCCTTTTTCATAATGTCATGGAGAAAACCCAAACACACAAAATCTAAAGCAACCACAGAGGTGTCACCTTCTGTTTTCCCAAAAATTTTAACCGCTTTATGGCCACATTAATCATGAATTCACCCCATCTTTTTGGTACAAATTGGTAAAAAAATCTCTCCCCCCAAAGGCATCTGCATCTGCATCTGCATGCTTATGGAGTATGGACTCCAATCTAGTACAACCTTATATTAGTGTTCTTTTTCTTTCTGCTTCTTCAACAGTAAGAAATTCAAACACATATTGGGGCATGAATGATACTTTGATACTTTGCTTCTGAATCAATTTTAGCTTTTTATCTGATAAAGTCCCATACTTTTTATCAACTCCCATGGCTTAAATTTTCATGTGGGGGATCGATTGGTGGTGGTGATGAATATGGAGATGAATATGTAGGTTTTCTTTTCTTTGTTTTCCCACCACGATACGTTGCTTTCTTTGTTTTGCTTTTGTTTTACTACTACGACTTCCTTTCATTTTCCAGGGGCTCGAACCCCAAGAAATGAAGGTATTGAGAGAAATGTAAAAATGGGTGGAAGTCGGTGAAGAAGGTAAGACAGAGATGACTGCTTTGTGGAAGATAATTGTGGAGCTTTGTGTTGGTCTCCAGCTCACCCCTAACACAAGCCTACGTATCAAAACTGGCCAAGTGGCTGGTATACCTAATAAAAAAAATAGTGTGTGCGTGCGTGCGTGTGTGTATATATACATATATTAGATCAGGTTAGATAGAGTTTTGATATAAAAAATTGAGCCGAGTTTAAAATCGGATGAAACTCTTATAAATTTGAGTTAAATCAAGTACGGATTTTAATTTTTGGGTAAGATTCAACTCATGGCCATCTCGTTACCAAATCTTCATCACTTTAAGTAGAGTTGATTTGAATATTAATATTTGAATAATTTGTAAATTTAAAAATTACGATTGTTCATATCAAACTAAAGTTAACATGTGATTAATCAAATTAAAGAATATTCAAAAAAATTAACAAACCATATAATTGAACCATTAAGTGATCTTAGTAGTTAAAGTGAGTATTATTCTCCCTAAAAATCTTGAGTTTGAGCATCTATTTTGCATGTTGTATGTACATTGTCTGATCAAAAAAATTCTAAACAAATACTACATTTTAATTATCTCATACTATTAAAAAAAAGTAAATGACAATTATTCGGTTTGATTATACCCCATCTCCTTCTCTTTTGTATTTTTAAGATTTTCTTTCCATTTTTTTTAAATTTAATCCCTTGTATACATGTGAGAATTACAGTAGTGTTGATAGAATTTTATTAAATCCAAATACATGGCATTTTAATATTATAAAGTATGCTATAAAATTTGAAGTCAAATTAATAACTCATATTTAAATTTACCAAAAAAATAATTAAAATTCATGTGATTTAAAGTAGAGGGGTTAAATTTTAAATTTTTGAAGTGTACAAGGATTAAAAGCTTTATTAAACCTAATTGTTTCATTCCCACTAGAAGTTAATAATTTTGTTTTTATATATACAAAAAGTTAGAATAAACTTTTGTATAATACTTAAATTTTCTCTAAGTGTCCATTTCTAATAGAAGGCCAATCAGTATATTACAATTCTCAACTTCTAAAATATTATAAAAACAATTATATCAATCAAATTAAAATGAAAATAAAAAGAAAATAATTATATTACGTTTAATTTTAATTTGCCTATTACAAAACTAAACCAAATTCATATCAAATACCATATATAATTAAATTAATTCAAATAAAACGTATAATCCTACTTACATTATTATTATTATATGTATTTTTAAATAATTCCTATTTAAAAAATAAAGATTTTTTTTACGCATAATAAATATTAAATCCATAATTAAAAAAATATCATCGGAGAATTTTTAAGACATACATGATTAAATCAAAACCGAACCATGATTCTAAAAGATTTTTTTTTCGAGATACAAATTTCCGGTGGCAAGGTCAAAGTCTGACAAGCCCACACCAACTCAAATCAAACACAAAAGGGTACCCCAAATGCACTAGCATGCACTTTAAGACCAACGCATTATTAGGCTCAAACCGTACCGAAATGCCAGGCTGAGTATCACATAATTTACGGCTCTGCCAGAAAAAAAAATCTTTGATTTTCTTCCTCCAGCAAATTATACAGAAGGAGGGAGCAATGAGCAAAGGCCCCACATGGGTTATCTTCATCCAGCTATGTCAATCCACAGACCATAGAGTAGTCCGAGTCTAGTCATCATGCTTGTCTCCTAATCATGATTCAACCCCATTAGTACTTACTATAACCCAACAACTTCACATTACAAATCCACCACCATACCATTTCTCGGGTATCAATCTGTAAAAGACAGAAAAATCATGGGGTTATTTCACAATTCCCACCAGCATATGATTTTCTCGGGTATAGTTCAATAAAAGAAAGAAATATATTTTACAGTGATAGATATATAACTTTGCAAAAATGCCTAGATAATGAAGTGGAAAAGTTTATTTCCTAAAATAATGCATTTAGACTATTATTTCTTAAAATAAGGTGAATGCTACCGGTTTACATGTATTGTTTGGAATTTCTCGACGTCTTTAGGGTGTTGCATTCGTTCAAGGAATCTTTCGACGTCTTCAGTTTTGATGCGAAACTGAAACTACCCCTGCTGCATGTGAATGTTGTGACACTGCTGCACCCTGTTAACTAAAGACGCCGAGCAATCCCACCCAGGCATTATTGCTTCACATTTCTAAACACGTTCAAAGCATCTCTGCATGCATGCAGAGATTCCCATCCCGGCCCCCATGCAGACGATAGAGGTGAAGACGTCGAGTATTCCCTCAAGCTTTCCCTAAACGAGTTGCATGGAAGACGCCAAGAGATCCACGTTTGCATGGAAATTTTTGTGTTGAAGACGTCGAGAGATCCCAAACAATGCATGTAACCCTATAGCATTCACCCCTCTTGGAGAAATAATCGTCTGACTACATTATTTTGGGAAAAAAATATTTTCACATGCATTATCCGGACACTTTTAACATATAATTTTATATTAGGAGATGATCTCATTGCTTTCATTGACATAAAGTTCAGTTTCAGGCCTTCAACCACTGAAGGAAGTTTGGTGATTGTGCAATCATATACAGTAAGAAGGCTATCGAACCTCTAAAATTCTAGTATTGGATTCCTATTCAATATGACCTATATAACAGTGGGTAGAAGTCTGAATTCTGTTATTTACCAACTAATAGTTCTTGAGACAAGTTCCAAACCAGGGTTACCTAATTCGCCTCTGCCCCGCTGGTTTAGTTTGAATTCGGAGTTCATTCGCTTGCCAAATTGTTAAGGAACGTGTACTAAAACGTTTAAATTGGCGTACTGAAAATCTAAAACACCAAAAGCAAACAAAGTTGATAACGAGGGATGAGAAAGAAGCATCTAGATTAGTAACCACAATCTATGTACTAGCATCAGGAAGAAGATAAATTTAAGTTTCAGTGGTGCACAGCTCTACTTTCAATTAAGCCATGGAAGGACAAACGTTCATTTTTAAGATGTATTATGAATTAGTCATCACCAAATTATCTCACCCAATAAATCATTATCCCAAAATCCCTCAACAAAATGCAAACGATCAAACTAATAAACTGTGATTATGTATTCGTTCTGCCAA